GCAGACCAGCCAGAGGCCCAGGTGAGTGAAAGCTCTTGTTTAGTTTTGGTGAATTGATGAAACCCTAAGTGCTAACCTAGTTTATCAAAAGTGATTATGAGATAGGTAGCACTAGTCCAAGTGGTGGAGCAAATGAAGATCATGACATGATGATGGTGATGCCATGGTAATGATCAAGTGCTTAGACTTGAAAAGAATAAAGAGAAAAACAAAAGGCTCAAGGCAAAGGTATAAATGGTAGGAGCCATTTTTTCGGTGATCAAGACACTTAACGAGTGTGATCACATTTAAGTTCGATAGTCGTACTATTAAGAGAGGTGAAACTCGTATCGAAATGCGGTTATCAAAGTGCCACTAGATGCTCTGACTCATTGCATATGCATTTAGGATCTAGTGGAGTGCTAACACCCTTGAAAATGTTTGTGAAAATATGCTAACACACATGTGCACAAGGTGATACACTTGGTGGTTGGCACATTTGAGCAAGGGTAAGAAACTTCACCGGTGGAGTGTCCGCCCGTAGAGTGCGGACAGTCCGACGGTGCCACCAACGCTCTATACAGAAAAGACGGAGGTCACTCTAAGTGACCGGACGCTGGTCTCAGTAGGACCGATGCGTCTGGTCAGTGGTAGAAGTGAGTGTGCGGTTTCGGTCTCATGATCGGACGCTGGTATAAGAAATGACCGGACGCTCAGGGCCTGAGTCCGGTCAGTATGACGCATGATGGCATATGTAGCGCACAGGGGAGACATTGAGTGACCGGACGCTGGGTGAGTCCGATCGGGCATGACCAGACGCGTTCGGTCGTGATTTTTCACTTCTGGTACCTTACTAGAAACGACCGGACGCCGGTGTTGGTGCGTCCGGTCACTTTGAGCAGCGCGTCCGGTCACTACTTAAATGTACTGATGACCGTTGAGATCGGGCGATCAGCGTTTGAAGCCGATGACACATGGCAAGCATCGGGTGACCGGACGCTGGGGTCCTGCGTCCGATCGATCTGACCGGAGCGTCCGGTCACCCCGTGTTGTGCCCAGTGAAGGGGTACAACGACTCTATTTTGTGGGGGGCTTCTATTTAAGCCCCATGGCTGGCTCAAGCTCACTCTCTTGGCCATTTGCATTGACATAGCAACCTTGTGAGCTTAGCCAAAGCCCTCCCACTCATCTCCATCATAGATTCAACATCTTTGTGAGATTGGGAGTGAATCCAAATGCATTGCTTGAGTGTTTGCATCTAGAGGCACTTGGTGTTCGTGTTTCACTGCGGGATTTGCTTGTTACTCTTGGTGGTTGCCGCCACCTAGATGGCTTGGAGCAGCGAGGATCGTCGAGTGGAGGTTGGTGATTATCTCTGGCTCTGATCGTGGTGGTTGTAAGGGGTTCTTGACCTTTTCCCGATGGAGAGCCAAAAGGTACTCTAGTGAATTGCTCGTGGCTTGCATGATTCTCATCTTATGTTGGTTGCGCGGCACCCTATTGAGGGTTTGACGTGTGATGCCAATTAGCACGTGAACCTCTAAGTGAGTGAATCGTCACAACGAGGACTAGCTTGCCGACAAGCAAGTGAACCTCGGTAAAAAATCATTGTGTTCACATTTGATTCCGAGGTGATTGGTCTTCATTGGTATTCATTCTTGTGATTGATTGGTTCACTCCTCGACACGGCGGTATAAACAAATTGCTCACTCTTTTTACATTACCGTAAACTAGTCGTCAAGCTCTTTAGTGTAGCTAGTTGTGAGAGCTTGTTAGTTTGGTTAGTGTGGCTTTTTAGTTAGCCTTTGAGAGCACACTAACTTAGTGTAGTGAAATAGCTATTGTGTGGATAGAAACTATATAAACTATAATTGTGGTAGGTGGCTTGTATTTTTAGTAGGCTAGCGCAACACTTGTTTCGCCTCATAATTGTCTAACCGGTTTGTTAAGTGTTGTTGTAGAAATTTTCAATAGGCTATTCACCCCCCTCTAGCCATTAGAACCTTTCAGCGGGGCGCGGCCAACGACGACCGACCTAGCATTTTATGCAAAAAGGACCCTATGTTTTCTCAAAATTAACCCGCAGTCCAACACATACTGTTCGTGTGAGTCACGTTTATGCATCTAGAACCCTGAAAAAACACTTAATCTTATACTCACCCTTCTCTACCTCCCAACAGCAGCGCGCGGAGGAAAGAAGCAGAGGACGGTGGCTCCGGCCACCAAAATCCGGCCATAGGGCGACAAGCTAGCGGTGAGGGCGAGTTGCATGGCCGCACGGCAAGGCGGCGTCCGACTGCACCCACGCCCGGCCCTAGCCCGGCCCGCAGTAGTCCGTGGCGGCCCGGCCACGGCAGCCGGCGGCTACCGGTGGACATGGTAGGCGGCAGCGGCGCTACGACGATGGAGGGGGCCAGGGAGGCGAGGTGCAGGCTCCTAGGTACTGGCGGAACTAGCGCGCACCCAGCTGGGCTGTGTTGTAGAGGTAGAGCCCCACGATAGCGGCAACAGCAGGGCGAGCCGAGCGGACGGCGTCGGGGGTGGCCACTGCAGCTCGCGAGCTCATGCGAGGAGACGACGGCGGCGCAGCAGGCATGACTGGAGGCGGCGTGGTGCCGCGGGGCAACGCGAGCCTATACGCGCCCTCGCGTGAGAGAGGGGGAAGAAAAACCTGCGACTGGCGAGAGAAGGCACGGCAACGGCAGTAGAGGTGCGGCCTGGCACAGACGACGACGGAGGGGCGCCTGGAAGGGACAGCGCCATGGAGCAGCCATACTAGCGCGGGGCATGGAGCAGCGTGGACATCGGGGTACCGAGCGGGCACGGCACGGCGGGGGCTGCGGTGGCGCGGCCACGACGGGGAAAACGCAATGGCGGTGGAGCATGGGCGCCTCAGGGTGGCTGTGGGGCACGGCGGCTGGCTAAGGCAAGCTAGGAGGGAGAGCAGCATAGGCGCGCGAGAGGAAGGCGAGGAGTCGCGCACGGGCTCGGTGCGCCCGCGCGTGTGGTGCCGGGTAGCGGCGTCGGCGGTTGGGCATGGCGGGCGCTGCGGTTGCTGCGGCCCGGGAGAGACAGTGGAGAGGGAAAAGAAGGGGTGCGGGGAGTTGGCCAAGGCGACGCGGGCGCTGTCAAATCAGTGCTTGGCTCGGCACAGAGGCAGACAGCAGTGGCAGGCAAGGACAATCAGAGACAGAGGCAAGCAGAAATAGAAAAGGAAGGAGGAAAACAACACGAGGGTTCGGCCAACTCCATCCACGCAGGGACAGCGCGGCGTGCTTCAGCAGCGTTGCAGAGCGATGGGACGATGCGAGCAGTAGGTAGAGACAAGCAAGGCAGATAGCACGACAAGAGGCACATGGTGATACGACGGAACTGGCAGTGAGGGAGGGAAAACAAGCAAAGCAGTACACGGCAGCAGCAGCCCGCCCAACTCATCCATCAACGCGTGCGTCATACCGGCGAGGTAGGTGGGGCGAGTGGCCAGCGGCACTCTCGTTATTATTTCAGCTCTCAAATATTCATTTACCAAGCCGACTATTTATATTTTTAAGCACGGCTAAAGCACTAAGTTTGTTACTCGATATTTTAAATGCAACCAAAATCATGCTCCGAATTTTACACTAGTACTATATACCAGTCATATGCGGCCCTCCCACGGGGATCACCTCTAAGAGCAGCTCGACGGATGAGCAGCCTTGCGGTGGCGGCTCGATGTAGCTCGACGGACGAGCAGCTCCCCGTGGCTCCCTTCTCCACCGGCGTCCGCTTGGCCCCGCCACGTCTCTCCTTTGCCCCCTCATCTCATCCCCGGCCACGGCCCTCCTCCATCACCTGCGTGCCATCCGCTTGCCGCCGCTCGATTTCCGATCTTGAGACCCGTACGCGTGAATTGAATAAAGGACATGTAGATGTGAATTGAATAAAGGACTAAAGCTATAAGAGACAATCAAATAGTAGTAAAGTTATTTCTTAATTTATAAAGAGGAAATAGACTAAACTATAAAAGTGACTACAAATCATTGCATCTTCTTCTCAGCAGTTTCACCAAACGGCTTTTAACTCTCCCACCGCGGACAGCTCACAATAGCTTTTTTCATAGCCACAGTCCACAACAGTTTTTTTTCCATAGCCAGAGCTCAACCAACACATTTAGTTTTACTCCACTAGTGTGCATCAAATTTAAATAAAGTAAACTAGAAATTGCTCGCTGGATTAAGATATATTTTAGTTTTACTACACCGGGTTCACGAAATATTTTTAAAACAAACTCTAGAGAATTTGCTTGCGTGAATAAAAAAATCTAGTTATACTACAAAGGTTTGCCAAATTTTTTTTTGAAAAAAGTACTTAACGATTTATTTTCTCAATCTCACCCTCTAAATCATCGTTTGAAGAGCCATTTGCATAAAAATCGCTTTCTATATCTTTTAATTCTCCAACAGTTTTTCTATATCTAATACGCATTCTAGAGAGCCATTCTTGTTTTCTATTTTTAGCTAGCAAAAAATATGGAATAGAAGATGGTTATATCTGGATGACCATTTAGAGAAGACATTGAAGGATAAATTTTCACCAAAATCTCTATTCCTGATATTTAAAAATGATATGGAGAGTCTATCGTAGATGCTTAAGACGTATTTAGTTTTACTTCACTATGTTCGTCAAATTTAAAAAATAATTTGCTCCACTAGATATGAAAGCCACCCCTATATTAGGATGTGACGTGTTCTCCGATTCTCTACAAACAGAATGGTCGTGGCCACGTTTTTTTCGGCCTAGAAATAGCTAAGTTTTTTTATCACCCAGTTCGCCCGTAAAATACTCATGTCTAGCTTAAGTTGAACAATCTCTAGTTAATTTCCCGTACAGTGCACGTCACGTAACATTCATCATGAGTATTCAGATTTACTCTGCCGGAGTATTGGATTTAGTCGATCGTAAATGACAAAAGCTAAACAAGATAAAGACGTAACGTAGTGTACTAAACACAAGAAACTAAAATCCATACTGCATAAATGTCCTCATCCTGATAGCAAAATATAAACGGGATTACATTGAAGCATGAACAAACAGTGGATCCTTTGTTGCACGTACTAAAAAGAGGAGAATGCCCTGATGTAACTTCCTCTATTCGATCTTGTAGTACATCTTTTGATGGCAAGGTTTGTCGTGGATTAGATTAGCACTCAGTACAGGACTCTAGGGCAGGGAAAGTTTAAGTTAATGGCTATGTTCGTTTGGCTGGAAAGTCAGGGCCCTAAAAAAATACTGTTCACGGATTTAACGGGAGAAAAAACACCGTTCATTCTCACGAGACAAGCGCACGGGGTCTGTCGATCGAAAAATCGGCCCAAGCGCAGCACCAACTTGGCGAATAGCTTACCACCGCCGCAAACGGCGGCATGCTCGACGCTTTCAGGAGGAACAGGAAGAGCAGGCTCTCTATTCTTCAGCAATTCCAGTTCAGCCACTCTCCGTCGCGTGGAGTCGAGCAAGGGTTTACCTCGTTGGCAAAGGGTCGCGAGGGTCCCGACGGGGATCCACAACCAGAGCACGGCGTTGTCACCAGCGGCCAACCACCTCGCGACGGCCTCCTGGGCGGCGGCGGCGGCGCCACCGTTTCGGCCGCCGGCTCCAGCCTCGTTTGCCACGGCCTTCATTTGATCTACCACCTCCGCCACCCGTTCCGTGGCCCTGCAGATCTCGAACATGAGCTCGGACACCGGACGCGGGTTCGCTTCTAGGAGCGCCCCGGCCGAGGGCCCGTCCAGGTCCAGCGCGCGGAGGTGCTCCTCCAGCGCGAACAGCATCGAATGGGTGCTCTTGTACCTGCCGGAGGTGTAGTTCTCGCCGCCCAGGTAGAAGCGCAGCTCCGCCACCAGCCTGATTATCTGCTCCGCGAAGAGCGCGCCTACCAGATAAGGCTGCTTGGGCGCAGGCATTGCCGATCTGGTGCCCGTTTGGCACGGCTCCCGAGCTGTACCAAACGCCTCTGTTCAAAATGGCTCCTCCGCCGGAGCGCTTTGGGAGCCGGAGCTGTTTTGTGTAGTGCGAGGAGGAGCCTGGAAACGTAGCTCCGCGCGGCTCCGCCTAACGGTGTCGGATGCAAAGACGTTCGCGCCCTTCTTTGCATGCTCCGTGCTCGGCTACGCAGGAGGCGGCGGCGGTGCTGTAGCGGCGAGCGGCGGCGCGAGCGGACGATGCGTGAGAGAGAGCAAGCACGACGTGGGAGAGCGGCGACGCAGGCGCCAGGTGCGGGCAACGGCGGCGTGGGAGAGGGCGAGCACGGCGTGGAAGAATGGCGGCGCAAGCACCCGATGCGAGCGGCCGCTTGTGAGTGGTCTTGGAAGGAAGTACCGGAGGACAGAGATGATGCAACTCGTATGGTATGGGCCTTGGCCCAAAATGGTGTCTCCCTCATTTTTTATTAAAAATATATTAAATATGTTTAACTTAATTATAACCAATATCATGTCTACTTTTGTAAACGTTACTGTACTCCCAAAAACATTATTATCAGTTAATCTTATTTTTCATATTTAACCTTGTTAATTTGGGACAATCGTATCACAAAGTGACATCAAGCATAAATCACATGTACAACCAAGTTAAATAAAGTAGGGGCACTATGGACATTCAGCATCTTTCATCCGTTCTAGAAATACAGGAGAAGCTGTTTTGCCAAACGTTTTTTAGAACGGCTCCTGCTTCTCTAGAGGAGCTGCTCCTTCATAAGAGCCAGAGCCGGAGCTGTTTTCGGAGGAGCCAGAGCCCTGCCAAACAGACCCTAGTAATTTGCAAGCCGATGGGGAATCCAATCAAGCACGACTGCAGGAGACTTTTTTTGGGGTACAGAAAGAACTCCTTACCATACGGACCTATATACACGTGTCGCGCCCCCTGAACGGACTCGGAGTCGAAGAGGGGGTCAAATCCTTGATGGATTACAGATTTATTACAGTGGCAGCATATACGAGTGGAGAGCGCTGTCATCAGAGAAGAAAAAAAAAACTCGGCCTACGGTGGGTAGATAGCCCCGTAACTTTGTGCTTAAGGAAGAAAACCTTCTCACGTAGGTCGAGAAAATCTTCGAACCTCGTGCCCCGCCCTTACATGGGGCCCGGTACACTGTGTGTGGGCCGGTCTATTTACCTGTGCTTTGGAAAACTCGGAATAGACGAGAGGATTTTTTTAACTCCCACAGATGAACGAGCGCACCCGTAGGGGTTCGACCCTGCGAGCGAGGGTGCCGACCGGACATCTGACCGTCTGGTCCGAGGAGCCGTTGGCGTCACCAGAGAAGCAACAACTGGTGGGAAACAAATCTTGTCCCATTTCATCCACTCTCTTTCAAAAAAAAAAATAACACCAGAGATCTTTCACTTTCACACCTAAGGCCATGTTTAGTTATCTAAAATTCCAGAATTTAGTACTATGCAAAAAGAAGATTCTTCGTCACATCAAATTTGTGGTACATGCATGAGTACTATAGGTTGACGAAATCAAAAAGTAATTACACAGTTTAGTTGTACTTTACGATACGAACGTTTTGAACCTAATTAGTCAACGATTAGACAATTATTATCAAATAAAAACAAAACGCTACAGTAGCTACAGTGGCGCACCGAATCGGCAGCGCGGCGCCGGTGGGCGAACTAAACGCGGCCTAAGTGTCGATGCTTGTAATCTTGTCGGTTACAAAATCATCCAAAACAAAAGAACAGCATGGCGTACTGCCCCATTGTCCAGCTCGACAGTGATGTTCCATGTCATGCGAAGTGATTGCTTCAAAGCCTGTCAGAGAGGCTTGCAAAAGCCTTCATGGCTTCATCTGACAAAAGAGTCAGGCATCAACCCGCATTCTAGCACCATGGACTGCAACTTTTTCAGAACCATGTCTGTTCCCATCAGTGGTTAGGGTGTGTTTAGTTGGGTGAAAGTTGAAATTTGAGTTACTGTAGCATTTTCGTTTTTATTTGGTAAATAGTATTCAATCATGGACTAATTAGGCTCAAAACGTTCCTCTCGTAATTTCCAATCAAACTGCGCAATTAGTTTTTTTCATCTATATTTAATGCTCTATACATATATAATAAGATTTGATGTAATAGGTACTGTAGCACTTTTTTGGATTTTGGGTGCCAAGTAAACACGCGCTAAAGCAATAGAGAAAGAGTAGTAGCAGTAGCTTGCGCTGTGAATTTAGTAGCTCTAGAGCTAGAAGTTTGTGCCTGTGGACTCACCTTTATGGCTGAAGCCAACAAGGTTGTTGGAGTGTAACCCCTGCCCTGAGTTTGATGTGTTCGTTTCTGCGTGGGGGGGGTTCGATGGGAGGTTTCAATCTGTCTATTTTGCACTAGGCTAATCAGTGATTGTTTGCTCCCAGTGCAAGCTCAGACTGTTTGCTCCCAGTGCAAGACCAATATAGACTTCTACAATTTGCAAGCCACATCAGATCAACAATATAAGGTAGATAGTCCTCACAAAATGGCAAACATCAAACTGAGACAAACACATTGTTATACATGGTAGACAAATTTATGTTCACTACAATAGAATTGTGAGCCACTGAGTCCAACAGCAGATAATGAAAAAAAAACCCTCGACCTACGAGGGGTTATCACGGCTCCCGAGTATTTTGTTAAGAAGATCTTTTCACACAGTCCGAGAAAATCCCCCGAACCTCCGCCCCCACCCATAAACAGCAGAACCGTAACCCTGTGAGAACCGGGCCGGACCTTGGATCTGCGCTTTGGTTGTGGGGACGGACGAGGGAATTTTTTTCATGCCCCTAGCCTGAAATTCGCTCCCGTGGGGAATCAAACTCAGGACGTGGGGGTGCTACTGAAGTTCTCTAGCCGACTGAGTTAGAGCCCATTCGCATTGCTACAGACAATGAAATGATCATAGGGAGGCCTTAACAAATTCCAACAAGTTCTCAAATGATGGCATTTGCAGCGCTAGTGATCCTAGACCAAAAGGTTACCGATGGGTCCAATAACAACTTACCTGCAACAGAGGCAAATGCTATGTTACATGCCAAACAAAATCAACTACAACTAGTGACAAGGGTATCAGATGGACAACGATCCCCGCATCATCTCTGCTTCACTGTGTTCTATACTTCTGTGAATGGTAAAAGCAGCACTTCGGGGTCTGTTTGGTTGGCCTTTTTGGCTTTGGCTTTGGCCTCAAAAGCCAAAAGCCCAACTAAATGAGCTGTTGTTTGAGGCGGTTTTTTAGAAGTAGCTGCTTTTTCGTAGTACGTTTTTTAAAGCTGGTTTGACCCTGCTTTTGGCTTTCTGCTTTTCAAAATTAGTGGAATAAAAAACTCTTCCATAGTTGTTTCAAGAGAGATAAAGATAGAAGGTATATTTTATACTTATTTAACCAAACAGCTTTTAGCTTTTCTACAGCTTACAGTCCACAGCAGCTTTCCCACAGCTCACAGCCCACAGCAGCTTTTTCCCACAGCCACAGCTCAACCAAACACACCCTCAGTCCCGCAACAATAGTAAGGTTGTTAAGAAACATAGTTCATCAAAGTTTCAGGATAAAAGTAAATAAACAGAGGTCTAGACTGAATGTAGCACATGGTCAGGTTATGCGGTAAACAACCAATTATAGTCACTAGAAAGATGAGCAAATCACACACAACTACATGAGAAAATGCCTACAGTTCAGGCACAGCATGCTCTACAATTCCAGTATAGGATAAAATTTGAGCATTTTATATTGTTAAAAGGAAACAATTAGTTGTGGTGAAATGGTGATTCAACTACAGTTCAGGGACCATTCCTCCTGCAGATCAACTTCAAAAGGATGAAAAAAAATGCTGTAATTTACATCACCTCGCGATAGACACAAAGGACGTGCAGCATTGGCAAAATGGCAACAGAAAATAGCTTTCACCAAGTGATTTTCACTATAAGGTTTTAAAACGTAAACCATAATGGGCAGCAAGTCTGTAACTTATTATCATGAAGTTGTGACAGAATTAGAAGGCTACATAATGAGCAGCAAGACAGAGGATAAGATGCTAGTAATGAACTCTGCAGGGGAAACACTCTCAGCGCCCCTTGACGCTACCAAAAAAATATTGTACACTGAATATTGCAAACCAAAAAATATTGTAGAGATAACTGTACTGGTACTCTATATTGTGAATTCACTGTCCAGGTTCTGACCATTGTACACTGAATTCAACATCCAAACACTACTCTATGAATGAGAATCTAGATGCAGCTGTGTTAGAAAAAAATAGATAGCAACACAAATAACCGCATTCAGTCATTCACGCCTTTCTTCCATAAAGGCGTAGCATGGAGCCACCAAGCCATGTAGGCCAGCAAACTATAAAAGATCACATGGGGGTTAATACCAAGTCCTAGCAAGCTGATCCCAGGAAGAGTAGCAGATGCTACCTGCTCTCTTTCTTTTCTGAAGATATATCGAACCAGGCATATTATAGGGGTGCATTGTAGACCATGCCAGAGAGTTAGGCAGATTTATCATTATACCAAAGGGCATTATGTATTCTAACGGCAGCAACAGGAGAGCTTCCTAGATTAGATTGAAGGGGGACAGAACCAGATGAATTTTCATAAAAAATAATATCAAGGGCACCAATAACATTGAAAGAGACCATACTTGATGGCCTCATTGTAACACTCACAGAACAAACTTAGGCACAAATCAAGAATCTAAAATGATTTAAAATGATTTGAACCCTCTGATCCACTCAAAATGCTTTTGTCTCCTACTAGTAGTAATTATGAGCATATGTACTATGCAGCAGTGCAGTGCAGATGCACTTTGCCAACAAAATAAAATCTATGAGTAAACTATCGGTTTGCAACTATGTGTATGAATCTAGTGAGGAGGCCCAATAGGAGATGTCCAAAAGGGATGCTACTACAATAAATATTGCAGATCAATACTC